GACAAGCTGTGGCTGCCTCCTCCCTGGCAGTGTTCAAGGCCAGGTTGGATGGGGCTTGGAGCAACCTGGTCTAGTGGAAGATATCCTTGCCCATGGCAGGGGGCTGGAACTGGATGATCTTTGAGGTCCCTTCCAACCCAAACTGTTCTATGATTCTATGGTTCTATATTATCTTCATACTGTCAGTTAAAATAGTACTAATGTACAGCAACTCAGATGGAATATGAAATAGGTTCTGCGAGAACAGGTCTGCTGCAACAGGCTTGAACAGACCAAAAAAGAATGGAGTGGTACATTTCGAGTCCAATGTTTTCATAGGAGCCTAAGGTATCCTTTTTGTTTACATTTTTAATAACATCTAATCAACAGCCTAGTATTTAGCTTTACAGACGCAATGATCCGGGCTCTACTGTTGGTAGCCATTAACATGCTAGACCAGTGATGTAATTTTTGTTTGCAGTTAGTGGTTCTCCCCCCTCCCGAGTTTTTCTTTCAACCTTTTGTTTGGGTTTTTTTTTTTTATCTCCTTTTTCTGTCTCTAAAGATCATACCAAAAATCATTAGGTTTCACTGTCAATACTAAGGCAAGAAAATTGCCCTAACATCTGTCTGTGCTGAGCTGTTACTGTTGATAGAAAACAGGAAGAATAGCTTCTGCTTTACAAAGTTCCTTATTATGTTCTGTGTTTTCATTAGAAAATACTTTCTTCAGATGCTGAGAAAGCACCTGAGCCCTGCATTAGGCAGTAATTAAATTCTGGAAAAAGTTCATGAGAATTAAGCGGTTTAGGATTTTTTGGCTTGAGAATAAATGTGAAAAAAAACCACCTCCACTTCCCTGCATTGGACAACTAAACCTATACATGCAACTACATGGTTCTCCATTAATAGATAGGTTGTGTTTGGACCTATGTGTTCTGCCGTTAAAAGCTGTTGAAGCAAGCACGTGATTGATACAGCGTGTGTACACAGTACAGGCACAATAGAGCGTCGACCTTCTAGTGCGTATCCTGTTCAAAGTTACTGGAACTGGAATAGAGTGGGGCACCTAAGGACACCGTTGCATTTGACCTCCATTGCCTTGAAGAAAAAGAAAAACCCAAACGCCACACGCTTTATTTTTGGCAGCCCTATGAAGATGTGATTCCAGACAAATACTTAACAGTTTGTGCTTGCCAGGGACGCTAACTTTTAAATGCTAAAAAAATATCCCTCGTTATGCTATAGGTACAATTTGGTATCACTGAATTGCACAGTAATTTGTCCAATTGCCTACACCGAAGCTTTAAGCTCCACTTGAAGTAACCCCTTGGTAGGTAAAGATAAAACATGGTTTATCTCAGTTTATGTGCTTACTGTTACCAATTTTACCCATGAGGAATTTTTGCTTCAGGCATCAAACATGCAAAGCTGGTGGTTACTGTCATTGCCGTAAAGACTTGGGGGTTTTATGTGTTTTAGCTAAGAAAGACAGATTAATAGCCACCACGGTAATTTGAGACACTGCCTGCTTACTCACTACCCGGTATTATTTATTGCTCGTCCTTTTTTTACCTAGCTCCACCTCATATAACTTGCTTCTTTGCCTTTGGGTTTGGCACACTGCAGTTTACAGTTAGACTGTGAAGTTGTATAAGGCTGTGCCCAGAAGGTTTCTCATCAAAAGTGCCAGTATCTGACAGGAGATGTGTTAATACACTTGATTCAAAGATTTGCTTGAGAATTTTTGTGGTTAGTAGATACAGGCCTGGAAGGAACATTAAGTCACCCTGTTCCTTCTCTTTCTGGACAGCTGCTGGTAATAACCCCAACCTAAAGACACTTTTGCTGCTCGTGCATTTAATCCACATTAACTGCACCACTGTTTGTTTGCTTCTTAACGGGAATAGAGATTTAAGAGCATTTCAGGCTGTTTTCAGACACAAGGTGGTTTTCCAAACACCAGGTGGCAGGTATGTCCAAAATATTCTTCAGTCTCAACAGCATTTTAATTACTGGGATTTTGGCAGATCTGTGATATCTTTGGTTGATCTCATTTGCTTTGAGACTTGATCATCTGATTGGACAACTTGTATCTGTTTCTGTAGAGATGACCAAATTATCTCTTGTATATTATGAAACTGTTCAGCAGCCTTGTGAGCAAATCAAATATGCTCTGCCAGGAAGCAAAAAAAAAGTGTGACCGTCTGTTTGCAATGTTTGTTCATTTGGCAAGGGAAGCATCTTTCAAATACAAACCTCTGGGGTTGTTTTGAGGTTTTTTTTTATTTTCAGGCCGAGATTGTGTGACAATATGAACGAACAAAACATAACTTAGGTATGCAACTGGTCTGCATGCTTTGCTTGTACTCAGTTGTAGGTGCAAAATGGCAGGAATTTCCACAAGTAGTTACCTTTTTAAACTTAATGTTGATAGAGTTAAGGTTCTTTGATGATTTTCTGCTTAATGAATAGTATGAATGAACCTTTGGCTTCCAGGTATGTTTAAACTTTTAATTTTCCTGAATACAATAAGGAAGAACATCTTAAATA